TTTTTTTCTATTTATAAATTTGCATGGTATGTCCTTGGCTATATCCAATACATGCGCAGGATGAAGACCTAAGAGGGCTTGCTTGTTAAATTTATAAATGTCAAAAAGCCAGGAAGAAAAGCTAATCCCTTGGATGACAGAATCATTATTCAAGAAGATCTCAAGTTTTAACTACCTTCAATTAGATGATATTTAAAAGGGCTAAAGGTAAACATTGCTTAAAAACATTATCTATATGTATATACAGAATGGGAAAGATCCTAACATAAAAAAGGTGCATGTTTATATTGACCACATCAGTGATTTCCAGACAAGTTTTCCTAAGAAACAGAATGGGAAATAACAGAAGGCCAACTTTTTATTGTTTATTTAAGAACATGAAAACAAAACCCAAAGATTAATATCAAAAGAAACTTACTACCTACCAACACTATCATTTCATAAAAAAAGGTCATTTTAACATTAGAAAAGTAGAAATACAGAATGTAAAAAAGAAAATAATCCCTTGAATTGGATAAATATAACCTGAAAAGCCACATAGCATTTTTCAGCTTAGAACTGGTAAGATACTACTGTTGTTGGAGTTAACACAATTTTAGACTGTAAACACAACTGTATGGCTTGAATTAAGGAAAGGGATAATTTCACTACACTGCGTTCAGACCACAACTGCAGAACTATATGTGGAAACAGAATCAGAATGAAAAAGAACAGCACTGAGGAAACTGACTGATAGCTATCTAGTGATAGAGATGAGGAAGGTAAAGGAAACTGTATCATATGAAGTTGTAGAGGTTGCAGATTTAATTTAGAAAAGGGAAAACTTGGCAGAGAACCACTATATTGAGAAAAACCTTACTGTATCTGACAAAAGAACTATAACCAATGGAATAAGTTACATAGTAAAGCAGATACTAGCTCAGTTTAAATAGGAGCATTCTATTATAATTTCCAAAAGCTAAATTAGCCATCCTATGGCCATTTGTTCATGGAAGTGTTGCTCATGGAAAAGGTGGGCTCAGTAAGATTTCAGGGATTAGTAATAAATGGCACATTGTTTGAGATGACTTCTAAAGTCTCCTCTGATTCTAAAATAATGTGAATTAGAAGGAAATAAATGTTATTTTTTAAAACTTACTGAAAAAGACAAGTGAAAACAATTTTGGCTTCAGTCAAAAAGACAAAGTTTCAGTTAATAGGCTTTACCACTGAGTAATGAATGACACAGAGGCAAATATCCACTAACTCAGGACCTCAAGTATTTTCAACTTTAAGTGTAAAATAAAACCTCACTCATACAATGGCTGCATGAATTACACAGAGACACACAAAATGCCTGACACTTTATAGGTACTCAATACACACCAAGTATTACTCATTGCCTGGAGAATCCCATGAAAAGAGGAGCCTGGCGGGCTACAGCCCATGGGGTTGCAGAGTCAGGACACGACTGAACAACTAAGCGCACACATCCGTTACTCATGTACTCAGTAAATATTATGCTCCAAACGGTAGTATTTTCTATATTATTTGTTAGCCACCAATACACTTAAATAATAACTTGTTCTCTGCTGTGTTTTGTTTTTTTATTTTCAAACCTGTGCAATGCACGCTTGGAATTCATTTCTACTTCTATGCTTTGCATAGTCTCTATTGGATGAAAGAAATTTCTATAACCTCGCTTTTGTTGGTTTCCTTTCTACCTCTGAACAGGAGTGGGATTTACTTTAGTACATATCAGCTATGTCATTTATTTTGCCCCCAAAATATAATATACTGTTGCATAATCATTTCAACTAAACTGGACTACATATCCAATTTAATCAAGCATACTACCAGAGGGCAAGGAGATCAAACCAGTCAATCCTAAAGGAAATCAACCCTGAACATTCACTAGAAGGACTGATGCTGAAACTGAAGCTCCAATACTCTGGACACCTGACGCAAAGAGCTAAATCAGTGGAAAAGACCTGATGCTGGGAAAGATTGAGGGCAGGAGGAGAAGGGGCCGACAGATGATGAGATGGTTGGATGGCATCACCAACTCAATGGACATGAGTTTGAACAAACTCTGGGAGATAGTGAAGGACAGGGAAGACTGGCATGCTGCAGTCCATACAGTTGCAAAGAGTCAGACACGACTTAACAACCAAACAACAACTACAACAGATGTTTTCTTACTCTTTTAGCCAGCCTACACTGGCTAACTCATTGCTGAGCACTTCCCTCAAGAAATATTTGAGTAAATAAAGACCCATTTTACCAAGGGTAGTTATTAGAAATCTCAGTTATTAACAAAAGCTTATGAAATAAAAATAGTCTGAGGTTTCTCCCCATTAAAGAAAACCCATTTCTTACTGAAACACATCAACACTTAATGCTTCAGTCAATAATATTTATCCACCAAATTTTTTTCAGACAGTATGCAATTCTTTTTTTATATACTTGCAGAATAATTCACAACTATACAGATATTTCAGTTGGCACTTTAATATCATGTTGTCTGTTAGATATTTATAAGCACAGTATACTGCTTATCTCCCCAGGGTTCATGATAAAGAAGAAAAGAAAATCACTACACATTAATTAAAATACCAAGTTATTTTTCAGGGACAGAATTTTGTTGAGTAAAAATCATACTGACAACAAGTTTAAACATACACAGTATTTAGTACTAGCTGAGTGATAGCTGATCACTATCAGATGCAACAATAAAACTAGTTTCGAGAGCCTTTTGAGTTTTTTTAAAGAGATAAAAGGAAACAAGAAACTGATAGTTGGAACAAATAAAACAAATCCTTAAGCACAGGGTTTTAAAAATCACCTAGATATTCATACTAATAGACACAATGTATGATAATTTTACAGTGTAAAGCTGAAAACTTGCAGATGGTTATTTACATCCATAATAAAGTAATTTTAGCACACCATTAAATTAAAGTAGAATACATTTCAAGTTTGATTTAATTCCACATGATGATTACAGATTACTTTTAAGTAAGATGAAATTTAAGAGACATACTAATTCTCTTTTAAAAGTTTATCAAAATATAGTGTAGAACTAAAAGATAAAAAGTATAAGACAATAAAACCATTTTATGGCAAAATCAACTGAATAAAAGAGCATGATTTTAATAAAAAAGTTCAACGTGAATTTTCTTCCCTCAAAAAGTAAGCTTGTTTAACTTGAATATAACAAAATTCACTGAATTTAAGAACGATGAACTTCATGAGTTCTATAGGACAGTTTCATTTTTAACAGTTATAGAGTTGATCATACTATAAAATAGTACTGAATAGCAGAAGATAACATTAAAATATGGTTACTAGTATGAAGTAGGGGGAAAATTCCAACAGTTTCTGTTTTATGAAAAGTCCACTTTAAGGCATCTTTTCCCGTATCAATAATTTAATTTATAAAGTTCCTCTTCATTAGTATTACTTTTACATCAAAAGAAAAAGACTAGACTAATACAACTATGCAGTATCAATAAACTTGACTGTCACAGACAACTCAAAGAGCAAGGAGAAAAGCATTCCACAATTTTGACAGGGTAGGGAGACCAAGGGACACAGCAAGAAAGAGCACATTGGAAAAAAGACCTTGGTTTTATCTGATTCTGCCTTCATTAGCAGTTGGGCTTGGACAGACAAATCAGTTGACTTTCCAAGTTTTAATGTTTTCCTCTGTCAAATGCATTTAGATTTTTCAGTTTTAAAACAAAAAAATTCTACAAAATATACAAAGTTACAAAAAAGTAAAAGCAGCACTGGTTTTACTACTTAAAGAAATGGCAGAAAAATACAAAATGGTTTGTAACGTGCAATGTAGTATTTCCAGAGTAGAATTCCTAAATCATTGCACATGCCCCGCTACGGCTATATTAGTGAAGATCTGGATACTGTATTCATAATGTAACTCTCTCCTTTCACATCATTCCTCCACCGGGTCCTCCCCTTCCTGCTTCAATCTCTTTTGCTGGTTTTAACGCCAGCAAACGATTGTATGCACTGGAAGCTTAACAATAAAATCATTTTAAACGATGCATTTTCAATCAAGTGCATCATCTACTTCACCACATTTCTTCCAAGCGGGTAAATTTTTATTAAGAGAATAAAAACATGCATTTAAAAATTCAGAAACAGAAATGTACCAGGCCTATTTTTAATTTTGAATGCTTAAAAAACAACGGAAAGATGTATCCTACCCTATTCCCTTAGGAACGTGAATGCATTACCCACCCAATGAAAAAACATTCTGCTGGTTCATCTTCCTGCTACACAAACAGCTTTGTCGTCAGGCCCTTCCTAGTCCTTTCTTCATCCTGATCTAGTAATTTTACATGGATCACCTTGGCAATGCTTGGACAGGCACTGTCCCTGTCTTCCTGGAGCTTACATTCTCAAAAAAAAAAAAAAAAAACCACACAAAAACCAAAAACTCCGCTCAACACTTAAAAAAAAAAAGAGATTTTATGACTTAGGATCCAAATCCCACATCTTTCCGCCCCTGGTTAGGCAGCTGCTAATTCTTTCCCTGGCAGAAACGAAGGGACCCATACCAAAGCCCACATTTGAATCTCAGGACAATGAAGTCGACAGGAAGCCACTCTCTCCTCCCCCGGGTTACTACGGAGCCACAGCCTGCGCGGGTGCTGTGGCCCGGCGGGCTGAGTGACACATCTTCCACGCCCTCCCACCACGTCCAAAAGGCTCCTCGCCAGACCTCTCCAAATCGCCCCACACCCTAAAACCAAGCACACAAAAAGGGTCGACACCGGGAGCTGCTCAGATCGGGAAAAACCCCTTCTCCCGCTGCAGCGTAGCCATTCCCTCCACTGCTCGGCCCGCACCCCTGCAAACAGCTCGGGAGGAGGGGGCTGCACAAAGCCAAGACAGCCAAAGACGACTCACTACGTGGACACTAGCAGGGGAAGCCGGGCCGCTGGACCGGGGGACTAGGGGTTGGGGGCTGGAGGTGGGGGGAGGGGGGCGGAACTATGGGGGGATGGGCGTCCCCACCGAGTCCCAGGTCCGGAGGAGGGGGCGGCGCGCGGAGCCTCGGGGAAGCGCCCCCCGCCGCTGGCCCGCACCCTCGCCCGCTGCGGGCCGCGCCCGAGACCCCGCTGCAAACCCGAGGAACAGGGTGTGGAAAAGCGGCGGCGACGGCATCAGAGCGCATCACTTACCCCTCACTGCTGAGAGGGACCGGACGGGGGGGGGCGGGGCGCGCCGCGTCCCGTGAGTCTTTCGCAAGCGTCCTCCTCCACCCTGTCGTCGTCGCCGGTCGAGCTCTGGGCCCCTCGGCGCTGCTGGGCAATAACGTTATTCCACACACGCTCCGCACATAGCGGTAACGGCAAGGAGAGGCCGCTCAGTGCGCAGGCGCCTGGGGAGAGGGCGAGGAGCCCGGCCCTACCCCTGCTCCGGCTGTCCCGGCGAACCCCTATTGCGCAGGCGCCGAGCACAGACAATGAAAAGGAGTTGTGCTGGGGGTCTCAACCACAGGCCTCTCCAGCTGCAGACTGCGCAGGCGTACGCCGAAGACCGGCTTCAACAATGAACAGGACCCGGGCTTTAGCTGGGACCGCAACGGCCTGGGACTACAGTTCCCAGCGGGCAGTGCGCCAACTCCAAGCTGCTGTCGGGTCGCTGGGCTTGATAAGATTGCTAGTGTCAGCCGCTTTTACAATCTACGCCGTTTGGGAAATTCAGAGCTTCTTTTTCTTGAAAATTTATTTAGCAGTGTTGAGAGATGTTGAGGCGGCTGAAGGGTGTAGGAGCTCGTTATTTGCGTTCTTGAGAATCCTCAAGGATCAACTGCATATTAGTGAATTTAGAAGAATAAATAAAGCCTTCCAACGAGCCCTTTCTGTCAGTTAGGTGGTCCAGACAGCAGGATGGGATGAAGGCAGGACTAAGCCTGACTGGGCTACAGAAATGGGCGGAGCCTCCAAGCAGTCTCTTGGCAACCGGATCTGGTCGCCAAACCGCCAAAGCGTGAGCTTCGAGCGCGTTGCCCTCTGGGAATTGTAGTCTTTCGGCGGGGTCGTAGGAACTTCGAGACTGGAGACCTAGACACTGAGGACTACAGCTTCCGACGTCCACCACGAGGGCCCGAGGGTGGAAAAAGGCCCGAAATCTCCGGGATTCCTTGCTCCCCTATGACAGCAGCTGCAGGAAGCAGGCGGGCGTATCGTGGGGGCTGAGGCCTCTTATTCTTGGAGGGGAGGACACTGGACACTTCCCCACGCAACTCCCATCTCTGGCCCCCGAGTTTGTGCATGGCGAAGTCCCCGGAGAACTCTACCCTGGAGGAGATTCTGGGGCAGTATCAACGTAGTCTCCGGGGTGAGTTTCTCCGAACCTCTGTGCCCTAGTCCCTTGATACCAGGACCTCGTGGCTGGGAGCTGACCTGGTGCGATTCCTGACACCTTGGTTCAGCCTCTGCCAGACTGCAGAGAAAGAAGATGGATGTTGCTGTGGAAGGATTAAATAGTTGTGTTTGTTTTTACGTTTAAGCAGCGTTGTCTCCTTTGATTCCTATAGTGACCTGAACCAACTCCCTGATTGTCTTGGGCATCTTTTTTACCCGAGGCTCGCAGAAACTCTTGGTCGGCTCTATGCCTGTTCTGTCCAGTTCTCATACCTCTCTTTATAATCCAGTGAATTCCTGATGCGCTCTTTAAACATTCAAATTATGTGTAAAATTGAATGTGATTTATTGGACCCGGGGGGGGGGGGCGGGGAAACCCGCTAATAATTATTTTAATCACAACAGATTCTATTTAGTGGTCTAGACTATTTACATATATTAAATCAATTAAAACTTACTACCTTATGACTGTCCCTCTTCTACACACGGGGAAATAGAGGTCAAAGAGGTTAAGTTAGACCAAAGCCAACATAGCTGGTTAGTGGCAGAGCCAGGTATTAAATTCAATCAGACTTGTCTGCCTTGAAAGCCTATGTTTGTCTTTATTAATCATGTCTCAATTACTATTACTGAAACTTTACTTAGTTAATTCAGATTTTCTTACTATAGTGCCCGATGAGTATCACAAGAAAATCTGAATTAACTAAAGTTTCACTAATAGTAATCATGACATCATTAATAAAAGTGACATACTTGTAGATAGTCTGTCATCTTGAACATCATATATAACATCTAGAAAACCTCATTTCTCTTATTTTAAGGTAGAAGTTATGATATTGTCTACATGGTTCTTGTGAGGAACAAATGAAATAATTCAAATAAAGCAGTGATTCTTCAGACTTTTTTTAAACTCTTAGCCATAGTAAAAATATATTTTATATGGGTCGTATACATATAGGCTAGGGGCTTCCCAGGTGACTTAGTAGTTAAGAACTTGCCTGCCAATGCAGGAAACACAGGAGATGGGAGTTCAATACCTGGGTCGGAATGGTCCCCTGGAGGAGGAAATGGCAACCCACTCCAGTTTTCTTGCCTGGGAAATCTCATGGACAGAGGAGTTTGGCGGGCTACAGTCCATACACAGTCGCAAAGAGTTGGACACAACTTAGCCACTGAGCATGCGTACATGCATACAGACTAAAATAAAAGTTTCATTAAAGAATATTTATTCTACTAGAAGTAATTCACTCTACTTTCTGTTCCTTTGCATTTTCTTAACCCTTTAGGTCCTGACCAACAGCTTTAAAAATATTTAAAGCATTTAAAACATTGACTCATTTATTAATTTAGTGCCTACTATTCGTTAGACATACCACATGCTGGGGATATCATAAGTAACTAGACAAAATGTCTGTCCTCAGGGAGACTTTGGATTAATGGGGTGAAGGACAGTAAAATAGCTACAGATTATCACAATAAAAGAAAAAGAAGGGTAAAGATCAGTACTTGACACATAAGCCCTCATTAAATGTTAGCTGCAATTTCTAATTGGTACTTGTGGCAAAGTGAAGATTTTTTGAGGGGATAAGAGACTTGAATCTAGTGAGTCTAGACTTTGAAAGGTTATTACGTTTTGTTTCCATCAGTGTTTCCGTCAGCAGTGTTATAAACTGTCAACATTCTCAGTATTCAAACTGCAAGAGTAAAATCATTAGTTTGGATGAATATCTTCACCAGCCTACTGATGTTTCAAGAGCTGTTAGATACAGAAATAACCACTTCTAACTTTTCATTTGAAAACAAGAAAATACTGTGCAGAATGATAGTACCAGTGGCATTTAATTTTTGAGGTTGTTAAAAAAAAAATTCTGTTTTCCATTATGTTCCTCCTAATTATTCTTCTTTAACCTTAGTATGAACCTTTATTTAAACATTAGAGACTATTTAATATTAGGCATTTTGATGCAGTTAATTTCAAACTGTTATAGTACTATATTTAAAACCCTCAATACTGCTTTCAGTAATTATAGAGTGAAGAGTTCTTATTCAAAGATAAGATATTTTAAAATGAAATAAAAATTTAGTGTTATGACAATATAAGATAGTGAAAACATAATCAAGAGCAAACAAAGCAGAGAAAATTTTGTTATTAATTTGTAATGATAGTTTTAACAATAAATTGAGAAATGCAACTAGGAAATTTTCATGGGTTTTCAGCACTTATCATTTATTTAGTAGCATTTTAATTTTTATGTTTATTTATTAAATAGTTTATATAACAGCTTATGGAAGGAAACAGAACTAATACTGAAGAGAAGAATGATCAGAAGTTCTTCACTTCACACATTATAAATGACCACTTTTAGATACGATAATTCCCTTTAAAGTCAAAATGTGTGTTTCTGAATAAACACAGTATGGTGGCATTGTTTTGTATATGAAACTTCATTATTTTAAGCATTTGTGTCTGACAACTCTAGAATTGTGTTACTATACAATCAGATAAAATGCAAAATGTAAAGTTATTTTGGTTTTTTCTATTCACCATTACTTCCCCAAAATGTCTTGTCTAGTTCATTCTTAAAGAAAAGGTCATAGATATTCTTGATCTTTCCTCTCAAGTTATTTCTCTGGTTAACTCAATAATTATACATGTAATCATTACTAATTCTTTCATTTGTATTTAGCCAGGAAGTAGACATGTAAAAATGCAAAATGGTTTTACAATTTCCCCATTATAGTTTCTTCTTTTTATAGCTTTTCCTTATTTCTTTACTTTAAATATAATTTTTGGAACTATTCTGTTAATAGTATATGAAGAGTTTGAAGCTCTGATGTAAAAAGCAGAGTCAGTGTTGCTTTCTTGCTTTTGAAACTTAAGTGAATTCTTGCCTCTCCTTGAGTCTGATAATCCCACGGCAGCCATGGAAATAGAGCCATCTACAGACTCCATACTCACTGCTCATTCTTTCCCTGGTGCCTTTCACATGTAGTCACCCTCTGGGGATAACCCTTGTCTGTGCCCTCCCTGAGAATTGGAATGGTGTAAAGACTCCTTCAAAGTAACAGTTCTGGCAGACAAACTAGAAAGCTTCATTGCCCTACAGATCTGTAATGTATGCCTCCATAGTAGATGATCTAAAAGTTTGTTTCCAGTGGTGAGCACATCCTCGGTATCCTGGGAGTCACAGTGTAATCTAGAACCAAAAGTTGTAGACTTTTAGTTTAGCTTAATCTAGAACCAAAAGTTCAAGACTTCCCAAGTCTGGTTAAGTGTTTATTCACTCTTTCAGTTCAGTTCAGTTCAGTGCAGTCGTTCAGTCATATCTGACTGTTTGCGACCCCATGAATCGCAGCACGCCAGGCCTCCCTATCCATCACCAACTCCCAGAATTTACTCTAACTCAAGTTCATCGGTCGGTGATGCCATCCAGCCATCTCATCCTCTGTCGTCCCCTTCTCCTCCTGCCCGCAATCCCTCCCAGCATCAGGGTCTTTTCCAGTGAGTCAACTTTCGCATTAGGTGGCCAGAGTATTGGAGTTTCAGCTTCAGCATCAGTCCTTCCAATGAACACCCAGGACTGATCCCCTTTAGGATGGAATGGTTGGATCTCCTTGCAGTCCAAGGGACTCTGAAGAGTCTTCTCCAACACCACAGTTCAAAAGCATCAATTTTTTGGCATTCAGCTTTCTTCACAGTCCAACTCTCACATCCATACATGACCACTGGAAAAACCATAGCCTTGACTAGACGGACCTTTGTTGGCAAAGTAATGTCTCTGCTCTTTAATATGCTATCTAGGTTGGTCATAACTTTCCTTCCAAGGAGTAAGCGTCGTTTAATTTCATGGCTGCAATCACCATCTGCAGTGATTCACTCTTTAGGCATCTAAAATTCAAGACCCACAGAATTATATTAGTAATTGTGAAGTATAGCAAATACTCCTCTAAATTTAACACATCATAGTACAAAGTTATGAAGTATAAAATAAGCTAGTTCTGTTATAGTATAACAGAAGGCTGTTTAAATTCTATACACTTGAATGTAGGAATGTGATGTTAGAAGAAATTTGTTAGAAATTCAGTGTCCCAGCCTTAACAACTGAATCATGTTTCAAATGTTGCTGCAGTGTTAGCTGTGGATTCAGTTTTATGCCTGTATACATTACTCACCTATTCTCCAACTTCCTGGCCACCTTTGATTGAGTGGGCATAAAGAAATGGAACAAACTTATACTGAAACAGGAATGCATCATTTACTTTCTGTATGCATTTTATATGGTAATTCCTCCTTTTTCTTTCAATGTTTTGTTATTTTAGGCTCTAGATTGAATTTATGAAGAGTATGATGGAGTCAGAGAAAAGAATGCAAAACTAGGATCCAAGTTCCAATTCTTATTGTTGCTTTTCTAATAACTGTCTGTGTTACCTTAGGCAAGTTAATAAACTGTTTTTGGATTCTTGTTTCCTCATCTGGAATATGAAAAGTTTGGACTAGGAGGTAGGATTATTGCCAGTAGGAACCAAGGAGATGACAAAATGTGTGATGAAGTCAGTGGAAGACACTAGGGAATAGTGAGGCTGTGGCCAAACTGGGCGGTTTATGCTTTTTCTGAAAACATTGCAATTGCTTTCTTGCTCTTTCCCTCTTTTCTTCCTTCCCTTTCTTTTATTCTTTCCCCTTCATCCTATACTATGTGGGTCAAGCAAAATATGTGAGAGCTTGGGTCCCCTTCAGCCACTATCTCAGATCTCTGGATCCGTAATGTCCCTTTTATCAACACTGGATTGGACCACATGAATGATAAAAAGTTGTGTTTCCTTATGAGATTAAGGAACTAAGTTGATGGAAAATGAGAAGTTGAATATGGGAAGAAAATATAAAATTTGGGGGGGGTGATATTTTTCTTTTTAAGTTGATTTAGTTGGATAAAACTGAAAATAATACTGATGTTCCAATTGTATATAAGTAAA